GCTGCCCCCAAACTCCCTTCATGGGTGTCCGAAGCTGGGGCAGAGGCCGGGCTGGCACGCGCGCGGCCGCCGCCCGCGGGGATTTGGGTGGCGGAGCAGAGGTCCAGCCGAGGCTTCGGAGGCGCGCGGTTGGCTGTAGGGCAGAGAGAGCCTAGACGGCCGCCAGGGAACTAAAACACTTGGTCCTTTTCCTGTAACCCCGCCTGGCCCGGCCACGACCTCGTCTAGCTTTGGCGCCGAATCCTCCGAGACAATCAGAGTGGGCTCCCCCGCGAGCGCACCCCACAGACGGGTGCCGCCAAAGATCTGCTGTCAGCGGTGAGTCAGATTCCCAGTGATTTCGAAAAACTCTGGTTCTGGGTGAAAAAAAAAATCAAAACATAAAAATCAAATACCCTCAGGCGAAAGGAAACAAGAAAAAGAAAAAAAGCCCCATCCACTCCGGGCGCGGGCAAAGGTTTAGCCAGCCACTGAGGCTTTTCCAGTGAATCAGACCTTTGGGGCTCGGCGGGGAAACGCACCGGCAGGGGGAGGGGAGCTGAGCCTGGAGTTGTGCTCTGAGCAAAGTCAGAACTCGGGCTGGTCCTCCCAGGCGGGCGGTTTCCGGACCGCAAGACAACGCGCGGAAAACATTTTTTGCCACGTGAAACTGTAATCTGTTCTTTAGAAGAGCACAGACACCAAGTTTAATAAAGAACCTGGGTGCTGGGAAGGCGCCTCCGCTGCTTGATGAGGTCGGGGGAGGGGATCTGGGGAATACATCGCAATAAATTGGTTTCGGAACTTGGGAGACCACACAGGCGGCGCCTGCGGTCCGTGGATTTCTCATTTCTTAAATCCCAGTTGCACGACTTCATTCTTCTTTCTCTCAGTCCAGCTCATCTTCTCTGTCTCTCCCTCCACTTCTCATGACAGCGACAGGAACACTGCCCCTCCAGTGGCAGCGAGAGCGACGTCCAGGACGGGTAATCCAATACCCACCGGCCCTTTCCACGCCGCCCTTCTCTGGGCTCAAGCCCAGTTCCGGGAGGACCTTCCTACCCAACACCAGAAGGCCCTAAAGGCTCGCGGTCACCTGAGGCGGGGGACCTGATCCCAGCCGCCCAGCACAGTCTGGGTCGCGAGTAAAGCAGGAACCTCCGCCTCCAGGCCGGCTTCCTTGTTGCGCCCCAAGTATGGGTGTTTAGCCGGTTGCTTTCCCAGAAACCTTTGGTTTTTTACAGTTGTTCACGAGGTCACACGAGCGGGCGACACAGGGATGGTGGAGCTACTTAAGGACTGGCAACCCCGCATTCTGCTGCGAGGTTCTTTTCCGGCCGGGTCTACGTGGCCCGACACCGCCTGGAGCGCCGAGCACGCCGGGGTGTGGCGTGTTTGGGGCTCTCGGCTAGAGGAGCTGGTTCCTTTGCTCTCCCCGGGGTAGGACAAGGAGTGGCCGGCCGAGCCGCAGGCGGCTCTGGCAGCTACCGACAGCCGCGGGCGGGAATTCCTAGCCCGGGTCCGCACAGACCTCGGCCTAGGAGTCTACCTCGCTGCGTCCACGCCCTTGCCATTTCCCTCTTGTAGCGAAATCCCCGGGGCGGGACTTGGCGCGTGTCCTCCAGACCCTCTGGGAACCCGTGGCTTCCTTCACCTAGCCCAGGACTTACCAGAGAAGGAGACTTTAACCTGAGACTGTGCTGTGTCACGCTGACGTTAGATCTGCTTCTGAACACAAAAAGGACCAAGATGGCCCGATGGCAAGACAAGGCCTCCTCACTTGCTCCTCTAAACGGGAGGAGGCTTCTTGTCCCGGTCGGCGGGGTTGCGGATTAGAGAGGTCCCTACCTGGAGTTTTCTCAGTCCTCACCTAGCAGCCTGCAGAATGTTCCATTTCCGGACCGACCTCCCACTACCCCGCCGCGGTTGCCTCGAAGCCTCGGGTTGGGGAGCGGGCAGGAAGGCCCTGGTCACCAGCCGCGAGGTTGGGCAGGAGTGCAGACCCAGAGGAGCAATGGGAGATGGAGTTGGGTCTCCTGGGAAAGGGAAGAGTTGGGGCCACGGACCTCGAGGAGGAGGAGGAGGAGGAGGATGGGGACGCGAAAGGAGGAGGTTCGGGGGATATTGCGACACCTATGCGGCTCTTTCAGTGAGGCCAGAACTTCGCTGTTCCGCCTGAGCCAGCTTTAGCCCGCTGAGGAATGGTTCTGGCAGGTCTCTCCCCCAGCAAATTTCGGGGGTCCCAACAGAGCGCAAGCACCACCTTTTCTCGTCTAGAGGCCGAGACGCTTCTTTATGCCCTTTTATTTTCTTAAAATTATTTGAGGGTTTTTTTTTTCCATTTCCCTATTTGATTTACTCTGCGTACCCTCGCACCCAGGCTGCGGAGAATGCTCCTCCTGGGATCACTCCTTGCCTTTTTCTAAACTCTCTTTCCCACCATGGGCTCTGTCTCTTAAGGAGATTGAGCGCCCCACGAACGCTGGGTAGCGTCTGCGGGGTGACAGGAGGTCTCCTAAGAGTCCGGCGCAAGGCAGGGCGAGAGAGGTGAACATCTTGTGGATTTGCCACCCCCCCCCCGCCCGAAGGCCCAGATTCTTGGAGAAGGAGGAGCTCAAAGACCCAGCGTCCAGCCTCGCATCCGCGAGTTTTCAAGGACCAATCCTGTCACCAAGCTGGCCGGAGCGGTGGAAATTGCATAGTAAGGGGCAGGGGCGCCGCCAGAGGCTTTCACTGGCGGCTGTAGCCAGGCTGGGCTCAGACCGTGCCCCGAGCGCCCCCTCTGTTCTGCGCGCTAGCCACAGCGGACACTGGGTGGGGGGGGGGAGTGTAGACTTCGGAGTGGGGGATGGGCGCGCATGCAGCGTTAGCAGGCCGAGTCACTCTGGTAAACACGCCAGGGCTGGCGGCGCGCGCGGCAGGGAACCCGGCCCCGCCACCCCCGCCTCTACCTGCCCCGGCCTGCACGCGCCAGCGGCCCGGGAGCTGCGGAGGCGGGACTTGACAGCCCCCCGCCGGGGCGGGACCTAGCGGGGGCGGGGCCCGCGGTGATTGGCGCGGGCGTGGGGCCGCCAGTCTGAGCAGGGCTGCAGGGCCGCGCAGGTTTCACTTCGCTCCGCGCAGCCGCTGGGTCTCTAGCTCGTAGTATCGCGGCTGCGTCCGCGCGCCAACACCGCCGCCGCGGGATTCCTGCAGCCAGCCTGTGAGCCCTGCCCCATTGCGGTCAGAACCGCTTCGGGCAGCTAGGTTCGTGCCGTTTCCCGTCTCTACCACCTCGGCGCCCTTCCTTGGCTCTTGTCCCCCCAATGTCTGACTCTGATTCTCGGACTGAGAAACGCAAGGTAAATACCTACGAGTCTCAAGCAGCGGGCCGGGGACGTTTGGAAAACAGAGGCGTTGGAGCCCGTATGGCTCCCTGTAGTGCCCGCTTTCCGCGCACGTGCGGGCGGAGACGCTCCCATTCGTTCCGCTTGTCGCCTGGCGGGAGGCGGCGATTGGTGTGGGTTGGGTTCCTTCCCAGGCTAGGGCATTCTGGGGAAGGGTCGTCGGCGCTGAAGCTTCGGGCACTTAGCTGAAGTAGGATTCGAATCGGGATGCAGCGCGCGGAGGTTGTGCAGCGTCGCAGGCCAGGTTGGAAGAGAGCGTGCTCTTGCCGCTGGCTGGGGAGCTGGAGTACCCGCTCCGCGGCACCGGGCCGAGCACCCATGCCGGGAAGTCTCGCCGCTGGCTCCCGCGGCCTGGAGTAGTGAGTGACCACTCTCCAGAGGGTTTGGCGTATTGGTTCTTGGGCGCACGGACTCTTGGGGAGAGTTTGCGGAACTGCAGTGGTGATTTAAATAATGAGCCCAGGATTTTCCTTAAACTTATTCAAGCTAGAGTTTTGCCCTGTTTAAAGTGCCTGGGGGCCCTGCTCGGTCTGCGGGCACCCTGCGGACAGTGCCAGCGCGCGATCCACTGGCAGCAAGAGACCTAGGGCCTCCGTCGACCGCCAACGCCACAGCGGGGACGAGCCCCGGCCCGCAGAACTTGCTCGGCCCGTAGAGCTTGGTTGTCCTGGAGGCTCCCGTGCGCCCTATGCCACCCCGGTCCGTTGGCGGTGCAGGCTGGCGGCGCCGTGCCCTAGGTGGCCTGTTTACCCTGGGGCTCTGGAGTTGCTGGTGGAGGGCTCTTCGGACGCCGAGGATTGGGGTGTGGATGTGCACGCTCGTGGCCTGGGATGGTGGTCGTTCAGATTTGGTGCGAATCCGCGGCGCACAGGGAGACAGGTGAGGAAGTTGCTGGAGTTGGATGGGTGCTGCAGCCCAGGCAGATGAGGCCGTGGGGCTCTCGCCCTGACTGGCATGAACGAGAACGGGTGGCAGGAACTGCGGTATGAGGACGGCCGAGCGGGTCCCGTGAGAGCGCAGATCTCGCTTTGTCTCCAGGTGCCCGGCTGCCCGGAGCAGCGGAACTTCGGAGGCGCGCGCGGTGTCGGGGTCGGGCGGGGCTGGGTGTCGGAGCTGCCGGGCTGCCGCCGCGGCCGCCAGAGCAGCGCTCGGAGGCGAGTTTGTCAACAATCGCCTAGCCTTTGGCGGCTGGACCTGTAGGCGCCGCCCCCGCCCCCGCCGCCCATTGGCTGCGGCGCGGAGCGACCGTGCGCGGGCCAATGGGGAGCGCGGGCACCGGCGCCAGCGGCGCGGGGAGGCCGGCGGTGCAAGCCGCAGCGGGCGCAGTGCGCGAGGGGAGGAGCGGGCGGAGGCGGAGGATGTTCCCGGCTGCGGCGGCCGGGGCAGCGCGGGCCAGAGGCGCGGCGCGCGAAGCCCTGGGCTGCCTGGCGGAGCGCGACGGCGGGCGGGCGGGCAGGCGTGGGCTCTGTGAGGCTTGGGGGGCTCCGAACCCGAGCGCGGGGCTTTGTGTCCTGCGGTGCCTCCGTGGTGACGGTCTGGGGGCGCCGGGTCGGCGCAGGGCGCGGGTCGGCCGCCGCAGGGCGCGGGCTCGGCCGCTACGCACAGAAGGGAAGGGGCGGACGTGAGTTCGGTGTGGTTGCCTTCGGAGGGGAGGGTCTCTGGGGTGAGGGAGTCGCGCGCCCAGAGTGGCCGAGCGTTCGGAGTTAGTTGAAATTGTGGACTTCGCTGGGGGTGCCTGGGACGGCCCTGGGGGGCCCCCCACTTGGGAAGGTGCACTTAACAATACGGCTGCACCCAAGAGGAGTTCTGTCCTGTTTGGTGTGGCGCATGGGGCCAGGAGCTAGAGGGACCGAGGCGGGAGAGCAACAGAGCCCGGCCGATCCGCGCTCTGAGTTACAAACTCTATTGTGACGCACTTACTACGACTGACGGCCGCTGCCAAACCTTCCCCAGACTTGCTGCCCTCAGCATTTTCGGCAAACAATGGGGCCGGAGCAGGGAACGCGGCCAGCCGCCTGTAATCACTGCATCTGCGCCCGCTCCTGTGCTCCAGCACCGAGTCGGGTCCCCGGGAAGTCAGAGCCCGCTGGGAGCTTCCGACTTGATGCAAGTCTGTCCAGAGCAAAAAGCACATGCGAGTAGGCTTCAGATGAGCCGCTTCTCTTGAAACTTGTGTGTGTATAATGTGTGTAAGAGCACCAGCTCCACCAGTAGTTGACATTGTAGTAACAACTGTTTAGTTTGGTGGTATGAAGTTTAGTCACACCCCTGAGAGACAGATCTGCACACCTTTGTTATGTTAGGTGCATTGGAGGGGGGGGGGACTTTCAGAAAAGTAAACAATTTAATTTTAAAGTATTTGAGACTCAAGCATTTTTGATGAATTGGTGTAAGCAAGATTATTTTATTATGATCATTATCTTGCTGAAGATCATCTTAGTTTTTCTCTTTCTTGCAGAAAAAAAGACCAAATGGCAAAGCAACCTTCCGATGTAAGTTCTGAGTGTGACAGAGAAGGTGGACAATTGCAGCCTGCAGAGAGGCCTCCCCAGCTCAGGCCGGGGGCCCCTACCTCCCTTCAGACAGAGCCTCAAGGTAATCCCGAAGGCGAAGGGGACCGCTGCCCCCACGGCAGCCCACAGGGCCCGCTGGCCCCACCGGCCAGCCCTGGCCCTTTTGCTACCAGATCCCCGCTTTTCATCTTTGTGAGAAGATCTTCCCTGCTGTCTCGATCCTCCAGTGGGTATTTCTCTTTTGACACAGACAGGAGCCCAGCACCCATGAGTTGTGACAAATCAACACAAACCCCAAGTCCTCCTTGCCAGGCCTTCAACCATTATCTGAGTGCAATGGGTAAGCAATGCCCGGGTAAGGGGCAGTGGTGTGTGGTTGTTGGAATATCTGTTTCAAAGCTGTGTGTAGCATTGAAAGTCCCCTTTTAGGGCCCTTCAACTGGTTTAATCTGTATTTTCATGGGCACAGAGGATGTATAAGGTCAAATATCAAGCCAGCGTTTTTGTTTTGTTTTGTTTTTAATTCATGAAGTCTGTGGCATGAGTGAAGTCCGGGCATGAGCCTTCAGGGCTGTAAAGCTTGAATTTCTGCTAAAGCACATAACCCTGGCACGGTATTTGGACCACTGGGTTTTACCTGTTAATGACATTCTGCCTGAAAGAATTCTGCCTGGTGTCCCTTTTCAAACAGCTAAATAACATAACTGAAAGTAAAGAAAGATTTACAAGTCAAACATTTTAAAAAATGACATGTGGGGAAATTGAACTAGTTTGTATAGCAGTGCTGACATAGAACCATGAAGGTGGTTTGTTTTATGGGCAAATTTCCCCTTGGATTGGTGACTCAGAGTTTGGACATAGTACTAATGAGCTGGGGAATCAGACTTTATGTCAGGGATTCAGAGCAATGTTAGTGTCTGAACTAGGAGTGGCAAACATAAACACCCAGAGAGTCCTATCAGTGAGGGCAACTGTGGCAAGTTGGACAGCACTTGCCACTTCTGCTAGTCCCATCCTGATTGTTACCCTGAGGGCATGTGGTCTCAGAGTAGCATGTATTCTAGTTTTGCAACATGGTCCTGGAATGCAGATTTTGAGCCTCATATTCTGACATTTAAACGTTGACAACTCACATTCTTTAAAACATTGCATAAGCCATTTTGAAACCTCTGCAGGCTCAATTTGACTCTGGAGCCTCCGGTTTGTGCCTCAGAATGTCTAGTCACCCTGATGAAGGGAGGAGTCTAGGTTGGTTCAACTGGCTATTCTTCACTAACGGAAAAAGTTCCTGTCTTGATCATCATTCACCAAAATTATATTTGACATTTGTTCACATTGGCTTGCTCTGCATAAATAAGACAAAGAAATTGGTAATGTTATGGATTAGGAAATCTAATATAGATTCTACCAAGATTAGATTGTACCTGCCATGCCAAAGGCTAAGTAAAAGTCATGGGATCAAACTCTCGACTACAGTGACACACCTTGTATTTGTAAATATGTTGCAGCTCTGGGCAGGTCTGTCCCCATGTAACAGAGATGGGCAGAACCTCAGAGGAGTGACTCTTGTCAGGGGTGGGGCACACCTGGCACAAATGACAAATTCCACTAGCGTGTATGCTGTCTGCACATCTGCCAAATGCTGGGGCACAGTTACTATATTATGTAAGGAGCTGGAAGTTTCATTGTTGCTATTGCTTTAGTCACTACCAGTGCTTCTGCTCCTGAGTTCAGGAAGTTCCTGGTGCTTGGAACTCTCGTATCCACAAAATATTCCAGTGCATATGTGAACCTACAACATTCTAATGGAGTTGCCAGCACTTTTCAGCATGGATGTTTGAAAACCTGTTTATTTTAAGGACCCTCTGGAAGCTGTTATGGTTTCACACTGCAGGCCTTTGTAGCGGAGTCTGCAGGTGTGGCTAAGGCATGGCAGTAGTTTCTCCTGCCTCATTAACTAGGAAGAGTGTTAGCTGGATGAGTGAGTGTATTTTTTTTAAATGTGAAGACAGACATGAATTGCATGCTTTTGCTGGTGGGGGGGGGTAGGGGTGATAAATACTGTTAGCAAGCTAATTATAATGTAAGCACTGTTATTTCAGATGACAAATACTGAGCTTTAAAGATCACAATCCAGATTATTAAGCAGAGTTAGTGGCTTTATCTGTGAAGTAAAGAAACGGATCCCAGGGTTTTATTTTGTACTATGAACTACATTCTAGTAGATTGGTGTGAAAGCTTAGAATTTAGTGCGGCAGAGTAAATGGTAAGTTGTAAGGAATTTGTTTAAAGTTAATGTGCCAAGGTAAGTTTTCAGCATTAAGTTTTTGGAGATTTGTGGGAGAGGATAAGTTAGTGTGAGGAAAGGACTTAGCCAGATGTCAGTTTATGAAATTGACAGATTAAATTAATAATTTTTATAGCCTCTAACTTCCTCTTTCTTCTGGCCAACCTCAGAGTCTCAGCTCCGTGAATGAAGGCCACTTAACACTGTGCTGTTATGTGGTTCTCTTATATTTCTGGCCATGTTTAATATTCCTTGCTCCGTCATCTCCATTGAGATCTTTAGTAGTGACCCTTTTGATAATTTTATTGAAATATCTGTTTTTCACAAAATGGTCTTGGGTGATAGGTTTGAGCTCCTGGAACAAATGTGAGATTGCAGAGAAGTACGGCTTAGCCAGGGCTCCTCCAGCCACAAAGTAGTTTTCTGTCTAGCGACTGGGGGTGGAGAACCGTGTGTCTTGAAGTTTTGAACTTGTGATCTGATGACAAATTGAAGGGTTACTGGGGATTCATAGAAGTTAGGTGTTCCTCCTACAAACATCTTCATGTTTTCCTCAATTTTTCTGATTTTTCTGAAGACGTGTTGGAAGAACATTTTTATCGTGAGGAGACATGGTTTGTACCCTCTCGCTCAGTTTTTGCCTTCATGTGTACACTGGGAGGATTAGCTTGACAGATGTTCTCTTAGTGGGTAACTGATAGTTTGCATAAAAGTCACCCATGCCTGTGGGTCCACCCTCGTACCTTTTAGAATGGTCTGGCTATCAGTAACTTTGCCATGTTGTGTTAGAAAGTGTCTTAAACTTTATACTTGTTTCTAGTATGTCAGAATTCTCAGATGGAAGTTAATGGTCTTCTGAACCCTCTGTACCTCCTCAGCATACTGTGGGGTGTTACCCATTACCTCTTGCACCTGATAATCATTTGACCCCTCTTCTAGATTGGGAAGCATGATGTCCTGCATGAGCCTGACAGGAGAATTCCAGGATTTTTTCAAAGGGACCCCAGCTCAGCCTGTTACCCTTTCCTTGGAGTTTTGCTTTGTTTTGGTTTTGCCATGCTAAGGATTGGACCCAGGCCCTTGCCCATGCACTCTCCTGACCTCGCTCTGCCTTACCGTGGAGTTTTTAACAGGGCAAGTAAGAATTTTTTTTAAATATAGGTGGCAAGAAAAGGACATGCCCTTCCACACCCTCTATGTATGGTTAATTCCCAGGATCCAACTATAAAGTCGGCCCCGTAGGGTGACAGGTGCAGTCTAGCTCAGCACTGCCCAGGAGGGGAGCTGCCTGTGTGTTGAGCTCTTGACCCAGGACTGGGCAGAATCAGGATGTGCTGTTGGTATCAGTGCACACTGGATTTTGAAGACTTGCTACATAAAAAAGAATGTAAAATGCCAATTGTTTTCATCTGGGCTACCTATTAATATCTTGAATTCAGGGGTTAAATAAAATACAATTTTATGGTAGTAAAAAAACTAACATAAAATATTTACCATCTTAACTGTTTTGAAGTGTGCGGTTCAGTAGTGTTAGGAGCATTCATGTCACCATACAGCCCGTCTCCAGTACTTTTCCGTCTTTTAAAACTGAAACTCTACCATGAAACAAATCCCTGTTTCCCCCACCGCCAGCCATGGGCAGATCCATTCAGCCTTCCATGTGAAATTTGGACAACTTCTGTAGGTAGAATCAAAGTGTTCAGCCTTCTGTGACTGACTTAATGCACTTAGCATAATGACATCTGCACTGTGAAGTATGTCCCTACTTTTTAATGCTGCATTACATTCTAGTGCAAAACCACACCACATTTTGTTTATCTGTTTGTTCATCCACCAGTAGAAACTTAGGGTTACTTCTGCCTTTTGGCTATTGTGGAGTGTACCCCCTTGAATATGGGTTTGCTAAATCTTACCAGGATCCTGCTCTGAATTCTTCTGGATATGTACCCAGAGGTGGGATTGCTGGATCATATGGTGAGTAAGGGAGAATTGTCATGGAGTCTTACAATCCTTAGGTAGATATGTCTCTCCAAGTACAGTAGACCAACTTTAGGTCTTCTTAGATTTCCTTCATTATCGTCCTTTAGTTTTCAGTATGCAGAACTTGTACATTTATTTAGATGTATACCTAAATATTTCATTTACTTGAGAGCAGTTCTATTAATTTTAGTTTCCACATGTTCACCTTTAATATATAATAATGAGAGTAATTTTTGTCCTTTATAGCCTTGTTTGAACTCATTAATTCTAGAAGCTTCTTTGTTGATTTCTTGATCTATCTATGTATATAGTCATAAAATCTGAAAATAGGGACAGTTTTTGGGTTTGTTTGTTTTTTCCCCCCACCTTCTTTGCATATTTTTCTTTTTCTTGCTCTATTGCATTGGCTAGAACTTCCACTACTTATGTTGAATAGGAGTGGTACATGCTTCCCTGTTCCCGCTCTTGGGGGAATTCTTAAAAGATGAAGAAGTTTTACCTTTATTTCTAGATTGTTAAAAAGAGGTTTTTTTTTTTTTTTATCATGAATGGAGTGTGTGTTAGATTTTATAAAATATTCTGTATTATTTAGTATGATCGGATGATTTTATTTATGTTTAACATATTGAAATGATGCATTACAATGATTTGTGGTGTCTGGGATAAATCCTAACTTGGGTGGGGTTAAATATTTGTGCCTTGATTTTTGAGGTTTGTTGTTCGAAGTCTGTCTGGTTTTGACATGTCAACCTTAACAGTGAGTTTGGAAAGTGTTCCCTTCTCTTCTGTTTTCCTGGAGAGATTAGTTAGTATTAATTCTTTAAATGTTTTGTAGAATCTAATGGAATCATCTAGGCTGGGAGGTTTCTTTGGGGGCACTTTTAGGTGACAGATTTCATTTCCCGATGTTTGTAACGTTGTTCAGGTTGTTTCAACTTGGTTTGAGTTTTGGTAGTATGTGGGTCTTGAGGAATAGGCGCATTTCTTCTAAGTTGTTGAGTTTATGAGTATAAACATATTTGTAGTATCCCTTGTTACCCTTTTAAATGGATTCAGGATCTTGTCTCTTTGAT